TTGTCTGTTTGTCTTCTTGTCTATTTTATTGTCCCCTCTTTCCCATTCCTGTGATGGTGCCTTCACAGGCAATGAAAGTGCAGACAGTTCTTTCAAAGCCATCTTCATTTCCAAATGCAGAGAGCATTTCTATCTCCTCCCATTGCCATTTGTAAAAGCTGTCACTGCTTCACTTCTATTTCTTTCTTTTTTAAATATATATTTTATTGATTTTTTACAGAGAGGAAGAGAGAGGGATAGAGAGTTAGAAACATCGATCAGCTGCCTCTTGCACACCTCCTACTGGGGATGTGCCCGCAACCAAGGTACATGCCCTTGACTGGAATCGAACCTGGGACCCTTGAGTCTGCAGGCCAGCGCTCTATCCACTGAGCCAAACCGATTTCGGCTTCACTTCTATTTCTTATTCTTCCTTTTTCTCTTCCCTTCTCTCTCCGGACTCTCTTCTTGCTTTTCTCAGTATTTTTTGTAAGAAGGCTGATTATGTATATGAATGTATATATGTACTTATAGATATACATAGAGATTACACACATATGTATATAAATGTACTAATATATGCACACATATACATATGTACATATTGCCTATGTACTCTTGTAGACAGCAAATATAATATGCACCTCTTCATATCATTTACATTCTTTTTTATTTCAGTTTTGTAATAATATTGCTGAATAATCAAGAGTAAGTTTCTTATGGTCAGAGACATTGGACTGGAGTTTTAGAAACTATTAGCAGTTCTTTTACTCCAGTAAATGTTTGAGAGTGAGAGCATGTTGGTTTAAAAAGTAGTAGAGTAGAACCTTAAAGTAAGGGCTACATTTTTTTTCCCTAGAAAAGAAGTATGTTTACCATCCAATGCACATATTGTTGGACAGTCTACTAATAAGGCCTTTTTATAATTGTCAATAAAGAATGTTATATATCAACAAGATAGAGACATCATACAAAATATACTTAAGAAAGGATAGGATTACAGATATATGATAAAGTGAGATCAGGACAGAAAAATGTAAGCTGATACATCTGGCAAAGAAAAGTTGTAGATATAGATAATTTATGAAATGGAGAAACTTGGCAAAATATTAAAAATGAGCTTTAAATGTAATCATCAGACAAAATGTATTAAATGGTTGTGATGTGAGCTTTCAATAAAATATGTTGAAACCAAGGTTCAGGGTATAGTTCTGGACACCACATTGCAAAATAATGCTTTTTCTGATAATGTGTAATAGTTGAAATTATACAATATCAGGATGAGCTAGTGGTCATCTGAATGATTTCAATGATGGCTTTAAGTTGTACACTCCTGGAAGGCTGGATTTGTTTAGCTCACTCTGGGATGCTTAGCATTTCAAAGTGTATAGCTTAGGTCCTTTACTGATGTTTTGAAATAATGACCATATCTAATATTAGAAACACTGCCTATATTATAATAGCAGGAAGATCCACCAAATGTTTCCTTCAGGAAGGATAAGACCATCATTTTCCATTGTGGCTCTAAGGGTCTTCAAAGTCAGACGGTGCTACTACAATACACTTAAAGATAGCTAACAAGTAGGGGCAAGGAAATTGAAAATGTAAATATAGCAATTATTTACTTGAAAGCAAATGCTGAATTGCCTTTAAACTATTTTTTAGTCTCTTTTTAAGAAGAATCTGCCACATAAGAAGCGAGTCCTTAGACTACCATCGTGGGGGACAGTGGCCTCGTAGTTGCCAAGGACTCCATCAGGCAACCACCTTTGCAAACTTGGCGAATGTGTTTGAAATTTTCACATCACTACTTCCTCATGAAAACACAGAAAGACAGTTCTCTTTCTTCCTCTGCAAAAGTTTTGATTGTTAGTGAATTTCCATAGAATGGCTGATTTCTAGGAATGCATCCTCCTGTCTAACCATTCCCTGAATAGCAGGCCTTCCATGCCATCTCTTTGCCACCTACACAAAAGCAAATCTATGAATGCTCTTCCTTGGTTTACCTATTACCTACATCTTCTACTTTTTTCAAGCAATAACTCACCATTTATTTATTTCCAGGGGCTTTTCCTAGCAAGCACTGTTATAAAATGAGTCTTGAAGGCCATCAAAATATGAGAACTATGACTTGGACCAGACCATCATGTATGCTTATATGTTGCTTTAGATTAATCTATCATTCTTTTCCATATAAGTTTATCCTGCTTCCCCAGCTAGACTTAGGCCCCTCAAATGGGAGTGCACTACATTTTATATATTCTTGAGCTACTGCAGTTTTTTTTTTAAAACAATCTGGGCATTCCATAGGCACTATTAGAGACACTCAATAAATTAATATAATCTCATAGATTTATTTGGTCCATTTATATTGTCTGCTCTGTGTCTCTTATCATATCTAACACCTAGACGTGGGCTAAAACTTTGAACAGTTTCTGGACCAGAAGTGCTCGATACATATTTGTTAGAAAGAAGAAATAATATATACTTTTAAAATATTTTTAATTTTTTAAAGATACATTTTTAACATGGAAATTTTCCTTTCTCTTTTCCTGGTCACCTTAACCTTTTCAGACAAATCATAAGGATCTCTCACAAAGGGAGTTCATTCTACATTTTAAGTTTTATAGCCAGATTTTTGGGGGTATGAGGCTCTCAATTCTAATTGATATTTGTGCTGAAATTTGGGCATGATTCCTTTGGCACTCACCCCTAAATGGTGCTCTGGATAGACTAAAGCATATAAGGTGGGGTTTCATTTTACATATTCTTTTCTTTTTCTGTTGAAGGTATCTAAAGCTATTTCTTTGTAGGAGGCAGCTTGCAAGCCTTTGCTATGAAATGCATAACATTCCATGTTTACACATCACATTTTTTGCAATCACTTGCGAGAGCCTAGAAAAGGTAGAATACCTAATCAGAGCTGACACAACCTTGGGGTGGTTTCTCTACCCTAGATTCTAAAACTTTAACAAGCTGGAAAAAAATATATGATTTCTTAAACCTTCCTCTGACTTGAAGACAATATCAGAGAGAGAAAATAAATTTATACCAAAAAACACTAATAAGTTAATTGTCCTTTTACTTCTAATTGTAACAGCTATCTGGCTAGTGTGATTTATAAAGTTGTGGTTTGATTGGGTGACCCCTTTTCATCTTGCTGGTAATTAGACTCTGGGATATCCACTTACCCTTCTGGATCCTAAGTAAATATTTTGATTGCATACCAGACTGTTTACAGTGCTTTCAGCCTGGTACCCACTGTGAGGACATAAAGTTAAACCCACTTTACAGCAATTATGAAATTAGAGATTAATTACTCCCATTGGATTGGAAAGATTTTGTTCCAATAAGATGTAAATTGTCCAGAACTAATAGTCTCAGACAAACACGGTTTATGTGGCAATCCAATAATCCAAAGGAAAAAGTGATTAAATAAATCAGACGTTGTAGTATTCACTAAGGCTTTGTTTGACTCGCACACCCAACTGATGCCGGTAAAAGGCATCAAATGATTTTAAGGAGACAGAAAACTAGTCAATCCCAATAGCACCCAAGACCCAGAAAAGCAAGTGCTTTGCCCTAGAGACACTGTAGAGACTGGCCAAGCCAGTGAAGACCAACATGCTGGTCTCCAGGGCAGCTTTCCTTCTCCGGGGCACCAGGCTGCCTCCTGCTGAGGGAAAGCAAATGTGCTTGTTTCCACACCACACCACCCATCCCCAGCATCAGCTCCACCCTGATCCGCTCTCCTGCCCTTTGTAACCAGACATGCTCCGATGAAAATCCGGCACAGCCCAGCCCAGCCCAGCCAGAACTCAGTCACTGCCTGTCAGCTTCCTTAGTCCCCCAGGACCATTGGCAGGGTTCCTGCACGAGGCTTAAGGTTGATTACATTCAGGAAGTCACCGCTAAAACATTCCCAGCAAGAATGAAAGAGAAGTAGGATAACGTTGACGTGAGAATTTGCCGGGTCATCTTGGAAGACACAATGTTACCGAGAACATTGTGGTGTGTGTGTGTGTGTGTGTGTGTGTGTGTGTGTGTGTGTGTGTGTAAATTTATCTTTATTGTTGAAAGTATTACAGATGTCCCTCTTTTCCCCCCATTGATCCCATCTACTCCACTCCTGCCCTGGCCTCTCCCAGCTTCAAGGCACTATTGTCGGTGTCCATGGGTTATATCTACACTTATGCTTATAAGTTCTTTGGTTAATCTCTTCCCACCCCATCCCCCTTCCCTCTAGGATTCATCAGTCTGTGCATGCGTCCATGTCTCTTGATCTATTTTGTTCATCAGTTTATTTTATTCATTAGCTTTCACATGTAAGTGTGATCATGTGATACTTGTCTTTCTCTGACTGGGCTTATTTCACTTAGCATAATACTCTCCAGTCCCTCCATGCTGTCCCAAAGGGTAACAGATCCTTCTTTTGTATTTTTAATTCAATAAACAGCCATTGAATATATTATATATGCTAGATCCTACCCTTGTGAAACCTAAATATTTTAGGGCCCGAGGAGCCTGTGCCCACACCTGAGGACATGTTACTGTGGTAGCTCAAACAGTGCCCTTCTGGGTGTCTATAGGATGTCAGTCCCCTATTACTGGTTCCCCAGCCCTTTACCCTGCAAGGGACTCTCCGGGAGAAACAGGCTGTACTTCATCCCTGTCCACTCTGTCCTGGCACTGCTAATTCTACTGTTTTGTCATGTCCCTTCTCCATAAGTCCCATCAGTGACTCCCCATCACCTTTAAAAAAGGATTCCCAACATTTTGCTCCAACCCACACACCCCTACGTAATCATCCCCAGCCTTCCCATCTGAGGTCCCCTGTCACCACCCCTTTGCCTGCTCCGCGCTCCAAGGCTGGCCTGCTAGCTTTCACTCACAGGTGGTTCTGATTACTGCCTCAGGCTCCTGTATTAATGGTTCCCTCTGCTGAGGACATGCTTCCCCAGGGATTCCTTCATCTGAATAAATTCCTTTAATCTCAGTCCAATATCACCATCTAAATTAGCAACCTGGTGGTCTAGTGGTTAGGTTTCAGCATTCTCATTGCTGTGGCTTGGGTTCAACTCCTGGTCAGGGAACGCCTTTCTTTGCTAATCAATGAGCATAAAGTTTCAGTTATGAATAAAGTCCTAGACATCTGCTATACAACATAGATGATGAGATAGTGTGTTGCACTGAAAAACCTGCTAAGAGAGCAGATCTCATGTGAAGTGTGCTTGCCATCATAAAATAAAACTGACGTTTAAAAGTAAATTAGCTGCCCAACACCCTTCAATATATCACCCATCATTCTAGTTTTCTTCATCACACCTATAACGCAAACCACAAGGTACTGTTAAAGTTTCCAGTAGTAGCTTTTAAAAAAAAAGAGGTGAAATTATTTTTATTTTATTTTATTGAATTTATTAGAGTGACATTGGTTAATAAAATTATATAGGTTTCAGATGTACAATTCTATAATTCATCATTTGTGTATTGTATTGTGTTTTCATCACCAAAAGTCAAGTCTACTTCCATCACCATTTATTCCCCATTTACCCTCTTCTCCTCAACCACCCCTTTCCCTCTGGTAAATTAGCATACTGTTGTCTATGTCTACGAGGTTTTTTGTTTAATTTTTTTGCTTAATCCCTCACTTTTTTTTTTTTTTTTACCAAGCCACCCAACCTCTCTCCCCTCTATCAACTGTCAGTCAGTTTTCTGGATCTATGAGCTATTTCTATTTTGTTTGTTTATTTTGTTCATTAGATTCCACATATAAGTGAAAGCATATGGTATTGTTTTTCTCTGACTGGCTTTTTTCACTTAGCATAATACTCTCCAGGTCCATCCATACTGTCACAAAAGGTAAGATTTCATTCTTTATTACAGCAAAATAGTATTCCATTGTGTAAATGTACCACTGCTTTTTTATCCACTCATCTACCCATGGGTACTTGGGCTGCATGCAAATCTTGGCTATTGTAAATAATACTGGAATGAACATATGGGTGCATATATTCTTTTGAATCAGTGTTTTGGGTGTATTCAAATATATTCCCAGGAGTGAAATCACTGGGTAATGAGGCAGTTCTGTTTTTAATTTTTGAGGAAACATTGTTTTCCACAGTGGCTGCACCAATCTGCATTCCCAGCAGCAGTTCACATGAGTTTCCTTTTCTTTGCATCCTTGCCAACACTTGTTGTTTGTTGATTTATTGATGATAGCCCTTTTGACCGGTGTGAGCTGTTATCTCATTGTGGTTTTAATGTGCCTTTCTCTGATGATTAGGTACACTGGGCATCTTTTCATATGTCTAATAGCAATCTGTATGTCCTCTTTAGAGAAATATCTATTAAGGTCCTTTGCCCATTTTTTAATTGGATTATTTGGGGGGTTATTGGTGTTCAGTTGTATCACTCCCTTTAAATGTTGGATATTAAACCCCTTTCGGTGTATCATTTGTGAATATGTACTCCCATTCAGTGGGCTGTCTTTCATTTTGTTGATGGTTTTGATTTCCTTTACAGTGCAAAACTTTTTAGCTTGATGTCCCATTTGTGTATTTTTCCTTTTGTTTCCCTTGCCCAAGAAGACGTATCAGAAAAAAATATTGTTACAAGAAATGAAATTTTACTGCCTATGTTTGCACATGTGTATAGGGCAGCTAGGTCATGACAGGTGTGTATGACAATCACAGGAGCCATTTCTCTCAGCTACTGCTTAGGGACTTTGCCAAGACCTCTCTCTCTCTCTCTCTCTCTCTGGATTCTCTTTTTAGAGCTCCACAAACTTCCTTATTTTTTTTTAATCTCTACTCTCCTTTGTTATTTAGGGTTCTCTAGAATAAAACAGAACCAATAGGATAGATGATAGATAGATAGATAGATAGATAGATAGATAGATAGATAGATGATAGATAGATATAGAAATATACAGTATATATAGAGAGATTGAATTATAAGGATTGAGTCACACAATTATGGAGGCTAAGAGGTCTCATGAGCTGCTGTGTGAAAGCTGAGGACCCAGGAAAGGCAGTGGTATAAGTTCTAGTCTGAGACAGAACACTGATATTCCAGCTCTAGAGTCAGGCAGTGAAAGAGAATGTTCCCTTTCTTTTTTTTATTCTGTTCAAGCTCTCAACAGATTAGATGATAGCCACACACACGAGGAGGGCGGGGGGGCGGTATCTGCTTTACTCGATCCATTGATTCACATGCTGATCTCTTCCAGAAACACCCTCACAGACACACTCAGGAAATAATGTTTGACCAGATAGCTCCATATCCTGTGGCCCAGGTGACACATAAAATTAACCATACACCTCCCATGTTTGTGTATATCTGAATTCCAATTATTGACATTGCCTAATTTTTTTTTAATGGAAGGAAGGGTCTTGGCAGTTGTGGCAAGATTAAGAGATCATTGAGAAACATGCAGCACATATAGTATATGACATATGACACATAGCAGGCACTCAATAAATATTTGTGAATTGAAAGAATAGATGAATAGGTGATGTTCCTAGGCAGGTATAAATCAATTGGGAGAGGGGAAGGGAAATGGCTATATTCTGTCACCTCTTAGGCTCAGCCTCACACTGACGCACGGTATCATGAGCATTTCAAAAGTAAGACCCTTAGCCCTAGCTGGTTTGGCTCAGTGGATAGAGCATTGGCCTGAGGACTGAAGGGTCCCAGGTTCGATTCCGGTTAAGGGCACATGCCCAGATTGCAGGCTTGATCCCCAGTAGGGAGTGTGCAGGTGGCAGCCAATCAATGATTCCCTCTCATCATTGATGTTTCTCTCTCTCTCTCTCTCCCTCTCCTTTACTCTCTGAAATTAATAATAATAATAATAATAATAATAATAATATATTTATTTTTAAAAAGAACCTTAAAACCCTTGTCCTCAATTAGATTATGGTTGGTAGAGGTGATAGATATATCCATAGATTATTATACTGCATAAAAGCCCACAGATAAGCCATGTGGCCCAGGAAAGCATGGATCCTGGCAGTGGGTGAAGCAGGAAGGACACAGGTTGGGACTATACAGAACTAGGTTCAAATCCTACCTCCAAGGCTGGGTAACTCCGTAACCAAGGGCAAGTTATTCTCAACCTTTCTTCATCTATAAAGACAAAATTTACGACAGGATGCATTTCCTTCTCCCTCCCAACTCTCTGGTCATTCTCAGTTCTCCTAAATTAGGAGCGAGCAGGCTGGTTCTCAAGAAACAAGCACAGAACTATTCTCCCCCTCTACCCTCCAACACAGCTCTGAGAAGGATGTTTTTACAGGTGCTGCCTTTAAATATCCCACCATAAAGGAAAGCTATTTTGGTGGGGTTTCTATGGGGATTTCTTTGTTTATAATCTGGAATAGTTCTGAAAAAGAAACCATATATGTGGTTTAAAAACGGTTTACTCTACAGCAGACTTAATAGCAGAAAATTACGCTTGCATTACACAATACAAACTTCTCTTATGTTTTAAGACTATGAAATTTTAAAATAAATGCTTCTTTGTGTTTTATTCTTTTGCACTATTAGCAAAAGCATGTAGAAAGAAATATATGCTATTTGGGTAGGCCATGAGGAGTGATATCTTTTGGAGGAGTGAAATCTTTTGTCTATGGCAGGGAAGCAAAGTTAACAAAATTATTTTAAAATAAAAACTAAAGCAACCAATAACAAATAAGTCCAACACAAAAGCAAACAACAACAACAAAAACACCTGTATCTGTCACAACATGTTCTGAGGTGACCAAGCTGACAGCGATCTCATAAACATTGTGGTTGCAAACCTCAAGTGGACCCTTAGGTTGCCAGAAAAGCTTACCTTATGACTCAATCTCCACTCCAAGCCAACTATTTCATATTTTCCTGTTATGAGTTGAATTGCACCCCCTAAAAATGATATGCTGAAGTCTTAACCCCAAACCTCAGAATGTGACCTTGTTTGGAAATAGGATTAGTTGCAAATGTAATTGGTTAAGGTGAGCTCATACTGGAGCAGTGTGGGCCCCTAACATGATATGACTGCTGTCCATGTATTAAAGGGGAGAGAGGCACACAGAGGAAAGATGCCATGTGACGACAGAGGGAGGAGAGAAAGTGTGTGAGCCAAGGAGTGCCAAGGATTGCTAGCAAACCACCAGAAGCTGGGAAGAGGCAAGGAAGGATTCCCTACAGTTTTCAGAGGGAGCACAGCCCTGCTGACAATTTGATTTCAGAGTTCTGGACTCTAGAATGTGAGAAAATACATTTCTGTGCCACCCAGTTTGTGGTACTTGGTTACAGCAGCCCTAGGAAACTAACACATTTCCCCTCACTCTTCCACCATCCATCATTCCTTCAACTTCTCACCAGCCGTTACAAGCAGCTGATATACTTCAGTGAGAAAAAGGAAGTAAAAGTAATCATAAAGTAATCCACATTACCCCTCCTCACCTCAACCAGCTGAGCTACATTGATGCCTTCTCTCCTGTTCTTAGGAATGCACTGTCCCTGCTCCATCTAAGGCTAGCCTACCTATCCCACCCCTGCCTGTGCACTGGGCCTCTCCTCTCTCTCTCTCTCTCTCTTCTCTCTCATCTACTCTAGCACTTCACTCTTGCAGTTATATCCATCTGCTCCTACATCATCTAAATTTTCCTTCCAACTGCATAATTCTATCAGCAAAGAGACATGCTTTAAAATGTGGAAGGCAGGGAGGAAGGAAAGAAGGAAGGAGGGAAGGAAGGAAGGGAGGAGAAAAGGAAGGAGGGAAGGAAAGAAGGAAGGAAGGAAGGAAAGAAGGAGGGAGGGAGGAAGGAAGGGAAAGAAGGAGGAAGGGAGGAAGGGAGGAAGGGAGGGGGTTCTTTTATTTTTAAAAATATATTTTTATTAATTTCAGAGAGGAAGGGAGAGAGAGATAAAAACATCAATGATGAGAGAGAATCATTGACTGGCTGTCTCTTGCATGCCCCACACTGGGGATTGAGGGCACAACCGGGCATGTGCCTGTCCGGGAATCAAACCATGACCTCCTGGTTCATAGGTCAACACTCAACCATTGAACCATGCCAGTGGGGTGGCATCCTTTTCTTGATCC